GACCCCTCTTGGAACAACGAGCCAGTCTATTTCCCCGGGTACTACTCCCAACCGTACCCTTATTCTTCCAAGCAGTGCTGGAACCATCTTCCGGTCGAGCAAAATTATGAGGCCCTTAAGTTCAACGAGAAGCTCGACCGAATTATTGAGTTCATAGATTCCCAAGAAGCTCGAGAAAGAGAGGCCGCCTACCATGCGAAGCTCGACCAGATCCTGGCTTTTATAGAATCCAAAGAAGAGGAGGCAGCCTACAATGCAAAGCTCGATCAGATTCTCGATACTTTGGCATCCCAGGCTGCCCGTAAGAGAGATCTGGAGTTCCATGTTGAGAGCTTAATGGAGCGCGTACATGCCATAGAGGGTCGAGTTGACAATCCTTCTCATGAGTTCACCATGGAACACATATCTACTCACGAGGGTGAACTCCGAGAGACAACATTGGCGTACGATGCAAAACTCGACCTCATTCTTGCTCGCATGGCGGCTCAAGCAACCCGAGATGAAAAGATTGAGCTCGGGTGTGCTCAGCTGAGTGCACAAATGGAGAGCCTCACTGCACGTCTCGATTTTACTGAGGCACAAGCCAACGACCCGCACTCCATGCTTGACCCCCAGGCTCTGATTCTCCAGCGAATGTGCGAGGCCGAAGAGGATGACATGCTCCTACGAGCCCGGTATGATTCATTAGAGGAGGAGGACAATTCACAAGTCCCTCCTCCCACATTCGAGTTGGAGCATTCACCTCCGAGTCCATCGCACATCTTTACAAAGGTGATAGTACTTTACTCGGCTTGCTCTATTGACATGCCGTTGGTTGTCGAGGTTGACGAGAGATCTCGACTGGGGAAGGTTTTGTTCCAAACATTGGGGAATGCTCGTGATCAGACAAATTGCACCCAGAACATAACCACTCGCGTCCACCGTGCCCGCCTTCTGGCCTTAGTGCCAGCACTGCCACTTCTCGAGAATACAAAGGAGTGGCACGACCGTCACCTCTTTCTAGATCCCGGCTGAGTTCCCCTCAGGTTTCGTCAAGCTAATGACGTTAAACAAGCGCTTCGTGGGAGGCAACGCAAGTGATTTACTGCTTTATTAGATACTTTTCTTTTTGTTTTTTAGTTTTATCTTGGAATAATGGGAGTTTGGAGTTTTGTGATTTTTTTAGTGGCAGGGATGAGTTCGCGAGGCTGATCATAGGCGAGCTACTTGCACATGCATGCTATTTCTCCTCGAGGCACTTCGGTTTGCACACCCTTTTCTTATTTTCTCTTTTTGAGTTTTTTCTTTCTTTTGTCTTTTCTTTTGAGTTTGTGTCTTGTGTTAGCTGCTAGTTTGGTTCATTATATGAAAATGTTGGGTCCTATTATGTGACTTCCAGTTTTTGTTGAAGCAATGAGGTCATTGCCTCATTCTAAGTGTGGGGGAGTTTATTTAGATTTTGCATGTTTATGTGGTGGACCGGTCTAGCTTTAGGTTTTTGTGTTGTTGAGCATGGTATTGGTGGATTATATGAATTGTTGATGAATGTTTGGTGAAATCGAGAAGTTGTGATAACGAGCGTGTTGGTCATTGCCTCGATATTTGCTTGATTGCTTTGAGTGACATTTATTTACCTTGTGAGGTTTTGAGCCTTATTCTTTTCTTGTGAGATATTGGTCATATTCTTGAATGATTAGAACTTGCCTTGAGTTTGTTTGAAAGGAATCGATTAGAGTTTGAAATTGCGAATATGATTGAGGCGTTTTGTTTAATTAGCTCTCTTTAGCCCTGTACTTTGACCATACACGTTAATTTCCCTAGTAGCCCGTTTGAGCTTTGAGCCCTTTTCTTGTCAGCCGTATATGTGATGTACTTTGTTGACTGAATTGGTGATGATTGGTGAAAATGGTGTT